AAATAGTAGGGTGGAAACAAGCATTTCAAGAGGCCGAATAACCCACAAAAGATGAAGGCAACCAAGAGCAGTTCTTTGAAGATAGAACTAAAGCTGACAAACATTTGACTTGACTAAAAGTGAAAGAAAAGCAAACCAATCAGAGATGAAAATGGAGACACTGCAATCAACACTACAAAAACTTAAAAGACGGTGCAAGAATATAAATAATGAACAGACATATGGCAAATAATTTTATAACTTAGACAAACTGTTGAAGAAACTTGGCAGGGCAAAAATAAGTGTCAGTTATTTAGAAGTCTGTTATCAAAGAAAAGTCAAAGATTAAATGGCTAAGCTACTGAATTTCACCAAATATTTAAATTATTCTCTGTATGCATGTAGCTACCCATGGGCACCAAGAGAGGGCACTGGATCTTGCTGGGTTTAAAGTCTGTGGTGAACCACCAGACATGAGTGCCGGGAACTGAACTGGGGTCCACAGAAGAATATTTGCTCTTAAGCACAAGTCATCTTTCCAGCAGCCCCTGATAGTTTTAACCAGCTGTTACAAGTTTACTGTAATTCACTTTTAGAGAACTGTTCTCATTTGTTAGTTTGTCTCATTTACATTCATATGAAGAACTTACTGACTTAGTTTTTTCTTTTTGATGTTGAGCATTGGATCCAGGGCATCGAGCATGCTAAGCACATGTTCTTTCATTGGGCTGCACCCCAAGCTCCAGACATTATTTATTTTAGAACAGTGCTGACTTAATGACAATTTTCTGGTGAAAGCATCCTAATGTGCCTTCTTTGTGCTTACTGTGTATGTACAGAGTATATATCATGTTAAAAGAATGAGAATAAATATCTACACATCAAAACCATTTATGGAAAATGAATCACAAGTGTACCAATAAGTCTGTCACTTTTTAATAGACCAAGTTTTTCAGAATGCCAAAAGATGATTTAATTAAATGTTATCAATTTTGAAAGAAAACACTCAATTTAGAAACAAAGTCTCGATTAATCAACGGTTCATTTGAAGAAAGAAAATAGAACTCTTGAGATAACTTGCAGCAGATTCATAAGATTTAGAAGATCATGTAAAGGTTCACATAATTGAAAATTATATTTAAAGCTGAAAGCCATCATTTGCAATAATGTTAAATTCATGCTAATGATAAATGTAACTTTTGAAACACGAGTCCTTTGATTACAAGAAATCAACGAACAGGCTTAAATACCAGGGACCTGAAAACATCTGTGACATTGTAAAATGTGTGGTGAAAATAATACCACCAAGAAAGGACATTTTGCAGCTACTTTGTGCACTTGAGCGTAAGCTGGTTAACAAAAATGCAAGGAATTATCAACAATTAGAAACAGCTATAAATGTAACTATTAGTAACGTGCTAATTCACTCTTTACAATGAGTGAAACGTTGGGAAATTACACATGCATCAGTGAAGACTTAATTCATCTCACAAGATCAAAGTACGATTTCTAGTTAAATCCCAAATGATCCCTAAAGTTGGAATGTTCCTCATCGTTCCGATAAACAGTTTCATTCAAGAAGTTGGGAAGTATTGGTTTAAGAAATTTGAACTCATTTGTCCCCGTACCTCCCGTCAGACACACCTCATACTGGTAGCTCTGGGACAGGGTCCCTGTGCCACTGACATCAACCAGGTGACCAGGAAAGTGGCCCTCAGGAACAGTGCAGCCACCCACAGAGGCTGCCCTGGCCCTCCTGCACAGCCTCACCCCTACGAACAGCAGCACAGACAAGAGGAAGAGCGAAGACACAGATGCCAAGGCAATGACAAGGTACAAAGTAAGCAGGTCTTCGTCCTGTGTGGGGTCTTGCGCCACCTCTGGCAGAGGCAGGTAGGGCTGAGAGAAGCCATCCACCATCACCACTTGCAGAGTGACACTGGCCGACCTTGGAGGATCGCCATTGTCCTTGACCAGCAGCAGCAGCCTGTGCTTGGGCGCATCGCGCTCACTCAGAAGCCTGGAGGTGCGCACCTCGCCATTGTGAGCCCACACGCTGAACAGCCCTGGCTCCGTGGCCTTGAGCAGCTGGAATGACAGCCAGGCATTCTGGCCAGAGTCGCGGTCCACAGCCACCACCTTGGTGACCAGGTAGCCTGGCTCCGCTGCCCTGGGCAACAGTTCTGTGAAGGGAGCAGAGGCGTTCTGCAGCGGATAGAGCACGAAGGGCGCATTGTCGTTGGCGTCCAGTACCTGCACGCGCACCAGCGCCTGGCTACTGAGCGCGGGCGAGCCTTGGTCTGTGGCGCCTACGTAGAACTCGAAGGTCTGCAGGGTCTCATAGTCCAGCGCCCTGAGTGCGAACAGCTGCCCGTTGTCAGCATTGATGGAGATGAACGAGGAGAGGGGCAGCTGTGGGTCGTGGGTGGGCAGCAGCGAGTAGGTGATGTGGGCATTGGAGCCTGAGTCTGAGTCTGTGGCACTGATGGTGCCTATGTGCAGGGCGGGGCTGTTGTTCTCTTGGACAAACAGGGTGTAGGAGGTTTGTGTGAAGGCCGGGGCGTTGTCGTTGACGTCAGAGACCTGCACTGTTATGGTGTGCTGGGTTGTGAGCCTGGGTGTGCCCAGGTCGCTGACTGTGATGGTGATGTTGTACTCAGCTCTGCTCTCTCTGTCCAGTGGGCCTTCTGTTACCAAAGTGTAGAAATTATCTCCATTAGGTTTCAAGAGGAAGGGAAGTTGGCCTTGGATAGAGCAAATCATTTTTCCGTTCTCGCCTGAGTCTGGATCTGAAATTCCAAAGATGGCGACTACAGTTTCGGGAGAATTTTCTGGAATTTCACTGATAAGTAATGACATGGTGAGATCAGGGGCGTTGTCATTTACATCCGTCACGTCTATTACTACCGTGCATTTTCCTGAAAGACCTCCCCCATCAGAGGCCTCGATTTCCATGTGGTAAGACTGAATTTCCTCAAAGTCCAAAAGTTTTCTTATTCTAATTTCTCCGGTGTCTGAATTTATTTCAAAAGCCCGAAGCACCTGATTTGAGGATTGAAAAAGCGAATAGGACAGCTCTCCGTGGACCCCAGTGTCTAAATCTCTCGCAGACACAGCGATAACAAGTGAGCCTATGGGGCTGTTCTCTTGAACCTGCACCTCATAGAGCCCCTGGGCAAATTCGGGGGCATTGTCATTAATGTCCAGGACCATGATGAGAACCTGGGTAGTCCCAGTCTTGGGAGGTGTCCCGCCATCCAGAGCCGTGAGTGTTAATCTAACCTCTGCCTGCTCCTCACGGTCCAGTGCTTTGTCTAGCACCAGCTCAGGGTATTTCCTGCCATCGCTGTGATTGCGGGTGAGAAGGTGGAAATGGGAATTGATACTGATTGTATAGTTTTGAACTGTGTTGCTACCTACGTCCAAATCTTGAGCTATTTTCAGTGGAAACTTGGTCCCTGGAGGGCTAATTTCCAGGATTTTAAGGAGAATTTCATCTTCCATGAATTCTGGAGCATGGTCGTTTACATCTTGGAGCTGTATTTCCCCTTGAACAAATTGCACTGGGCTTTTTAGTAACACTTGAAAATAAAGGATGCACGGGTCCGTGCTCCCACATAACTCCTCCCGATCCAATTTTTCTTTCAGAACCAAATTTCCACTCTTCTGTTCCAGCTGCAAGAGTTGTTTGTTCCCTTTGTTAAGAATCTGGGCGCCCCTGATGACCAGATCCTTTAAGCCCAACCCCAAATCTTTTGCCAGGTTGCCCACCAAAGAGCCCCTGTCTGTTTCTTCTAGAATCGAATACTTAACGGTCGCACTGCCTGCCTCCCACAATAGTAAAAGAAAGACAATGGCGGTCACTTGCCTTTTCTGTAGTGCCTTGTGGAGTGGTGTCTCCATCGTTCCTCAGGTCCAAAAGAAGCAGCAGTTAATCACACAAGAATTGCTCTGTGAGCAGCTCAGGAATCTTGGCTCAATAATTTTGAGCTTCTTTTTTTTTTTTTTGAACTTGCTGGACGCGGTGTATCTGCCTCTCTGAAAGGATCTATCGGCAGAAATGTAAAAAGCTCCCTTTCTCAGCAGCAAATGGCTCCGCTTTTACAGTCTTACAGGCTGCAGGTTTTCGTTTCTTAGCCTGCAGCGCCACCAAGCGTTCTGCTTTACAACTTCAGATAATTTTGTTTCAAAGTGCTCTGTAAGGGCTAAAGTACTCACCATTTAGGTCAAAGTGTTCTATTCTCTCCTTCCTCTCCTCTTTCCCCCAACCCTCATTTGGCAGTCCTAAGATAGCTAGTCTGCGTGAGAGAAATGTATCTTCTTAAGTATATCTTCATAAAGGTACAGTCTCACTAGAGAAAGCTCTGCAGAGACTGCCAATCATTTAACAATTGCTTGTACAAGTATTCATTTTGTTTCTGACAATAGCACCATGGAAGAGACACGAATTTTGGGGGGAACTTGGAAGGATTTTCATTTACTATAAAATTTAATAACTTTTCTGTTTGTAAATAAAAATATTATTAAAAATCCCAGCTTCTAACTTCCAAATGGCAATGTGCCTATAATTCATGAAGAAAAAACTAAAAGGTGATTTTTGTTTGTTTGTTTATTCTCTCTGTGGTGTGCAGTCTTAGAAGCTTCCATTCATAAATGTTCTGTATGTGATGACCAATAAAACTGAATGGAGATAGCACTTATAAGTTTTATAAGTAGTTAGCTCTGGCTCAGAGTTCAACTGTCTTTTCTACAAAGAAGAAGAAAAAGATATGAAGTCAATGAAATAGAAATGAATGGAAGGATTTTGACCTATGTGCCTTGGGAAGGTGGCCTTTGGACTGTGGAAACTGTGTAATTGAAAAACACTGAAGTTCCAAATAGAACTGTGTGGTTGGAATGAAAGAAGAAAAACCCACAGGGCGCTGGCAGCACACGCCTTTAATCCCAGCACTCAGGAGGCAGAGGCAGGCGGATCTCTGTGAGTTTGAGGCCAGTCTGGTCTACAGAGCAAGTTCCAAGACAGCTAGGACTGTTACATAGAGAAACCATGTCTTGGAAAAAAAAGAAGCAAAACCCTCTCCCTCAAGAAAAAGGAGGTTATTGAAGGACAGGGCAGGTATTCCAGAATCCCTACGAGAAAATGCTTCCTTTGGCCATTATAGTTCACCTTGATTAAGGTTGAAGGTAAATATTCACCGAGCACCTTAATATAATTTGCCTTCCTTTGATAGAAATTTGAAAGGAGCATTTTCCTAAGATATTGGCAACTGTAACCTACAAAACAAGACTACGAGTACACGTGGCTTTGTAGTTAACAAATGAAGGTCAGAGAATGCTGGAGGAGAAAATATGGATACTCGAGAAAGGGAAGGTGAAATTTGTAAAGTAAAACTTGGATTTGACAAAATAACTTTGAACTCTCAAACCCTTCGAGAAAAACAAGGTAAAGTGTGCTCTCCTGAATTTATGCTCAGCAGTAGAATGTAGAGTGTGCAGAAAGATGTTTGGTGTGTTGAAGGACAGAAAACAATCCCAGTAAGCAATATTGCTTAACATTTCACAGGATTGTAATGAAAAGAAAACCTCTACTCATCGGGAAAAGCACATTGTTGTAGAGAGGATGTTAGAATTATTTTGTAGAAAATGTGGGTTGTTTTTAAAAAAAGGACTGTTGTACGGTTCAGCAAATATTTATTCAGCATTTGTAAATACCTTGATGCTAAAACACCCCACTGTTCTTACACAAGGTTCACAAACTACTGATAGTTTAGTAAAATTTATATTTAAGAAATACATTACTAAGATACACTAAAATATAATTATGGCTAATTAAGGTATGTGTATTAGCACTTAGATTTTTATATTTAGAGGTTCACATGATAGTTACCCCTAAATGAGACTAAATTTGCAAAATTCAGTACTATCAAACATTCACATTTAAAACATTCCTACACACTAATAGGGCAATTAATTTAATCATTTGTTTGAAATATAATCTCAAAGGCTTTACATGATGATATATTTAAAAGATTATTTGATTTCAGATTTTACTAAAATACTTTTTATTTAAGTTGCCAAATACAGGTTAGTGCCACTAATTTAAATACAACTATGAAGTGCAATCGAGAAGCTAGTGGAATCTCCAGAAACTGATAATTTAAGATACAAATTTGACTGGGCAGTGATGGGGCATTCCTTTAATTCCAGTACTTGGCAGGCAGAGGCAGGCAGATCTCTGAGTTCAAGGACATCCTAGTCTACAGAGCTAGTTCCAGCCAGGGCTACACAGAGAAATCCTATCTTGAAAAAAAATGGTACAATCTCAAGAATGATAGCAACAGGGCAAGCCAGATGATACATTATGACTGAGGTCTCTAATCATAGTACTAAGGTGACAGAGGCAGGTGGCTCTCTCTGTGTTCTAGGCTAGACAGTTCTATATAGCAAGATCCAGACTACCATAGTCTACAGAGTGAGACCACATCTCAAAAATAGAAAAAAAAAATAAACAGGTTGACAATTTAGCTCTATGGTTGATTTTGCCTAACATGCTTGAGACACCGGATTCCAGTTCCAGGAACTAGTATAAAATGTAATACAATAAGCCTCAGCAAGCATACACCAGTAGCATGCACATTCAGCTTAAAAGCTCTTTCGAAGGTTAAACAGAATTTACTACTATACTACAGTATTTAGATGAAAAGGAAGCTATTCCGAAGTGTAGAACTTTCCTCTGTTTTCCTCTCAGATTCCAAAGTAGGAAATTGGGGGTTAATTGCCTTTAGAAATTGGAACTCACCAGTCCCAGAGTCTCCCCCGAGACACACCTCATACTGGTAGCTCTGGGACAGGGTTCCTGTGCCATTGATATCCACCAGGTGACCAGGAAAGTGGCCCTCGGGCAAAGAGCAGCCACCCAGAGCGGATGCCCTAGGCTTCCTGCACAGACTCACCCCCACGAACAGCAGCACAGACAAGAGGAAGAGCGAAGACACAGATGCCAAGGCAATGACCAGGTACAGCGTGAGCAAGTCCTCCTCTTGGGCAGGGTTGCGCGCCACTTCCGGCAGAGGCAGGTAGGGCTGAGAGAAGCCATCCACCAGCAGCACATGCAGAGTGACACTGGCAGACCTCGGAGGATCGCCATTGTCCTTGACCAGCAGCAGCAGCCTGTGCTTGGGCGCATCGCGCTCACTCAGCAGCCTGGAGGTGCGCACCTCGCCATTGTGAGCCCACACGCTAAACAGACCGGGTTCGGTGGCCTTGAGCAGCTGGAATGACAGCCAGGCATTCTGGCCAGAGTCGCGGTCCACAGCCACCACCTTAGTGATCAGGTAGCCTGGCTCTGCCGCCCTGGGCAGCAGCTCTGTGAAGGGCGCAGACGCATTCTGCAGCGGGTAGAGCACGAAGGGCGCATTGTCGTTGGCGTCCAGCACCAGCACGCGCACCAGTGCCTGGCTACTGAGCGCGGGCGAGCCTTGGTCTGTGGCTCCCACGCGGAACTCGAAGCTCTGCAGGTCCTCATAATCCAGCGCCCTGAGCGCGAACAGCTGTCCGTTGTTGGCGTTGATGGAGATGAGCGAGGAGAGGTCCAGCTGCGGGTCGCGAGTTGGCAGCAGCGAGTAGGTGATGTGGGCATTGGAGCCTGAGTCTGTGTCTGTGGCGCTGATGGTGCCTATGTGCAGGGCGGGGCTGTTGTTCTCGTGGACAAACAGGGTGTAGGAGCTTTGTGTGAAGGCGGGGGCATTGTCATTGACGTCAGAGACCTGCACTGTTATGGTGTGCTGGGTTGTGAGCCTGGGTGTGCCCATGTCGGTGACTCTGATGGTGATGTTGTACTCAGCTCTGCTCTCTCTGTCTAGTGCCCTATCTGTTTCCAAAGTATAGACATTCTCCATGGATGGTCTTAGAAGAAATGGAAGATTGTCATCTATGGAACACATCACCTCCTGGTTTTTTTCCGAGTCTGCATCTGAAACGCTGAACACTGCTACTATGATGCCTGGCAAGTTTTCAGGGATGGGGCTGTTGAGAGAGGATAGGATCACTTCCGGAGCATTGTCATTCACATCCAACACCTGCACGACTAAAGAGCACTTTCCTGTGAGCCCACCGCCATCCACAGCCTCAACACCCACATGGTAGGACTGAAATGCTTCAAAATCCAAAGTGCTCCTCAGTCGAATTTCTCCTGTCTTTGAGTTTACTACAAATGGCTCGTTAACACCGTCATCTTGAAACAGTGCATAAGAAACCTCTCCGAAGGATCCTGTGTCTAAATCTCTCGCTGAGACGGTAAGAAGCAGTGTACCAATGGGGTTGTTCTCAGGGACTTGGACCTCATAGAGTTCCTGAGCAAACTCTGGAGTGTTGTCATTTATATCTAAGACAAGTATTTGAATCTCTGTGGTCCCTGACCTGGGGGGAGACCCGCCATCCACCGCAGTGAGGGTTAGTCTGAGCTGAGCCTGCTCCTCACGGTCCAATGCCTTGTCCAACACTAGCTCGGGGAACTTCTTGCCATTGCTGCGGTTACGAGTGAGTACGTGGAAGTGATGGTTGTCGCTGACAGTGTAGCTCTGAATGCTGTGGCTGCCGGTATCTAGGTCCTGTGCCATTTTCAAAGGGAATATCTTTCCTGGCTCAGCCATTTCTGATATTTTAAGGAGCATCTCTCTGGCAGGAAACTCTGGGGCGTGGTCGTTTATATCTATAACTCTCAGTGCCGCCTGATAAAACTGCAAAGGGTTGTTTAGTAACACCTGGAAAGGCAGCATACAAGGCTCCGTGGAGCCACACAGCGCTTCCCGGTCCAGCTTTTCATTGAGCACCAAATCCTGGGTTTGTGGGTCAAGCTTCAAATAATGTCTGTTCCCCTTGAAAACCACTCTAGCGCCCCTAGCAGCCAGTTCTCCCACCCTTAGTCCCAAGTCCTTAGTCAAATTAGCCACAAACGTACCACTTTCTGTCTCCTCCAGCATGGTATAGTGAATTGATTCTGAACCCACCTCCCACGAAAGCATCCATGCAATTAAAATCATCACTTGCCTTGTCTTGCACCACGCCTTTGTGTGTGGCATCTCTACTGATACAGGAGGGAAGATCCCTTTCAGCTCTTTATCACGGAGGTAACTTTGGCCTTCCGGAAAGTCTTTGTTGTGAAATTTTTGGACTTGGTCTTACACGTTCCCGGTGACCCCTCTTCTCCGGGGTGCTTTTGTCTTAGCTGCAGTAGCAAATGGTTCCGTATTTTGCTTGTACGGGGCTTCCAAGGGCGCTAAAGACTTCTTACTCATTCTCTTAGCCTACACCGCCACCATGCGTTCAAATCAATAACTTCATGAGATATTTTCAAACGCCGAACACTAACGGAACATTATGAAGACTTTTATACAAATCTGAGCATTATAAAGACTTTTAAGTTGTCAGTGTTTCTCAAGTTGACAGTGTAAAGGAGTTCTTAGGGGGCTTGCTTGAGGGTGCATGCTTGTGTTTTGTTTGTTTAAGTTGGTTTTCAAGCTCACTCTAGATCTTGAGGCAAATTGCCTGCTGATGTAAAGGAACATCTAAGCGTCACTCTTCTGGCCACGGAAACTTCCCACAGTCAGCTATGATTCTTTAACAGTGCAACTGGTCTCTGATGAGTTCTATAAGGTCACGTGTGTAAGAGGCACACTCTTTAATTGTCCCAATAAGCACACCAAATTATTAAAATATAAAAGTTGGTCAGAAGCATAAATGTTGAACTAAACATTAAGTTCCCTGAAATACATGACTCATAAATGGCATGAACAACAGACTTTGTTACTAGGCCACATAGGAACAGTAATGGTAATCATAAGGCTATTGAGGAGAAAACTGTAGCCAAAAAGTGATAGCAATATCTAACAAAATGAATAATTTAAAATGGGAATTAGGAGCAATTGATATTTGCTGTAAGAACTTTTAAGATTTAATTTTATTTCTAAGTGAGTAGGCTTGGTCATGGTTTTAGAAATCCAAGTGTT